TGGGACCCGTGAAGAAAGGAAGACGGACATACCTACCACCTGCTGTTTACACTCTATCTAGAAAGGAGAAAAAAATATTGTGTAAGTTTCTGAGTGAAGTTAAAGTTCCAGAAGGCTACTCATCAGATATTAGAAGACTTGTGTCTATGAAAGACCTCAAGTTAAAGAGTTTAAAGACGCATGATTGCCATGTTATAATGGAACATTTTCTACCGATAGGTATACGTTCTATTCTGCCAGAAAAGGTAAGAAGCGCAATAACTAAATTGTGTTTTTTCTTCAAGTCAATTTTGCAGTAAGGTGATCGATCCTGAGATCTTGCCAACATTGCAAAAAGAAATAGTTGTTACTTTGTGTGAGCTTGAAATGTATTTTCCTCCCTCGTTTTTTGACTTAATGGTTCATCTTGTCGTTCATCTTGTGAAAGAGACACAATTGTGCGGACCAACTTATATGAGATGGATGTACCCTGCTGAACGTTATATGAAAATATTAAAAGGGTATGTGAAAAATCGGAGTCGACCAGAGGGTTGTATTGCCGAAAGATACATTGTTGAAGAAGCGGTTGAGTTTTGTACTGAATATTTGTCAAATGTTCAATCAATTGGACTCCCCAAATCTCATGTTGTTGAAAAAAAAGAATGTAAGAAGCTAATTGGAAATAAAGTTGTGACAGTATCAAGGGTCGAACGGGATCAAGTGCATTTGTATATTCGTTGATTGTGCAATTGATAAGTCTAGATAAACATTTGTTAAATTCAAAAAATGTTTTTTTTTGTGTGTGATTACAATCCATAAGATTGTAATTGATTTTTGAAATCAACAAAACAATAAGAAAAATCTGACCAACATCAATTGCACACCAATTGTTTAATAATTTGCCTCTTTATGTTTTTTGTATTAGATTTAATTGGAAACATGTTTCTATTGTGATCATATTCAAATGTGTTGTTTGTGAAAATATATTCTCTCAATTGATTTATCATTATAATTTCATATAACATTGGTTTAACGCATATCTGAGCTTTTCGATAACTGTTCGGATTAGACGATAGTTGATTCGGGTTCCGCTTGCCAAAGTGGTAAAATATTTTTTTTGTAGAATTTTTAACTTGGGACTTACTCACAACTCCCGTCTAGATATGTTTCGATCGTCTAACAAGTGGTATCACAAGCTCCAGTTATTTCCATACTTCAAAAAAGCTTATTAGATTAAGGCTTCCAAACCTAAAGGGGCGTACAATAGAGCGCACGTCTTCACCGGTAAAAACTATGGTTATTGGAAAGCTTGTATGCATATCCATATCAATTCATATGATAAGGGAGTATGGAATGCCATTATCAATGGTCCTAATTAAATTATAGTGATCGATGCTAATGGTGTTGTAACACCTAAACCAAAAGCATGATGAGATGATAATGATAAGAAGTTGTGGGCTTGTGATTGGAAAGCACAAAATATTCTCATATATGCACTTGGAGTTGATGAATATTATCGTATTTTCCATTGTGAGACTGCAAAAGCTACGTGAGACGTATTATAAGTTGCCCATGAGGGAAATAATAAAGTCAAACAAGCTTGAGTCAATACATTGAATCAAGAGTTTGAACTATTTCACATGAAGCATGGTGAAACCATTGCTGACACACAGACGTGGTTCACTCATCTCATAAATTGTTCGAATGCACTTGGGAAACCGATTTCTAATGAAATTGCTACTAATAAAATTTTGAGGTGACTTAATTGGGCCGATGCTATTGGAACAATTTGTTATGTTTTAAATAGGATACTTATACGTCATATCTTAAAGAAAACACCATATGAACTTTTAAAGTGTACAAAACCAAAATTTTCATATCTTCACATTTTCGGATGCAAATTTTTTATTTTGAACAATTGTAAGGATAACCTTGGAAAATTTGATGTAAAAAGTGATGAATGTATCTTCCTTGGATACTCTCAATAAAGAAAAGGCTATAGAGTGTATAATAAGATGTTACTTATTGTTGAAGAATCAGTACATGTCACTTTTGATAAATCTTATTCGAGAAATTTTGAAAAAGATATTTCTTTTCTTGATGTAGGTGTATCATCAAAAGTCATACTCAATAACGTCGAAAAAGGAATTGATCAAACCGAATCGGTGAAACCTGAGGAGGAGGAAGATGACGACCCTGAAAAGAAAAAGGATGAAAGTCAAACTAAAGAGGATGGTCTTCCCTTGGAATAGAGAACATCCAATGATCATCCAATGGACAACATCCTCAGAGACATCACCAAAGGTCTGACTACTCGCTCTAAGATAAGTAATTTATGTTATCACTTTGGATTCGTGTCTCAAGTTGAACCTAAAAATGCAAAAGATGCATTACTTGATGAGCATTCTCTTACGGCCATGCAAGATGAGTTAAATTAATTTAAAATAAATTATATTTGGGACCTTGTACTCATCTGCGATATCATCAAGTAATAGGCACTAAGTGGGTTTTTAGAAATAAAATAGACCCAAACGGAGTTATAACTAGGAACAAGGCCCGACTAGTGGCTCAATGTTATAACCAAGAGAAGGGAATTAATTATGAGGAAACTTATGCTCTGGTTGCCCGCCTCAAGGCTATATGTCTTTTACTAGCCTTTGCATGCTCTAAGAATTCAAATGATTTCAAATGGACATGAAAAGTGCTTTCCTTAATGGATACATTAATGAGGAAGTGTATGTTTCACAACCTCCTGGTTTTGAAAATCATGATTATCCTAATCATGTTTACAAGCTAAACCGAGCTTTGTATTGTCTCAAACAAGCCCCTCGGGCTTGGTATGAGCGACTTAGAAAGGTCTTACTTGATCGTAGATACTCTAGAGGGAAGGTATATACAACACTTTTCATTAAACATCAAGGAAAACACATACTTCTAGTTCAAATCTATGTTCATGATATCATATTTGGATATACTAACATGCAATTGGTCAAGGAGTTTTCCAAGCTTATGCAAAATGAATTTGAATAAGTCTAATTGGGGAGATAAATTACTTTCTCAAAAGCATGTCTATGGCTTCCAGTGAGGGCTTCAAAGATTATGCCCAAAAATGGAGAGATATTGAGGGAAGAGTCCAACCTCCTCTATCTGATAGAGAGCTAGTAAATATATTCTTGGGTACTTTGTCAGGCCCATTTTTCAACCATTTGATCGGAAGCTCTTCAGCTGGATTCACCGAGCTGATATTGACGGGTGAAAGAGTAGAAGCTGGTATCAAGAGAGGTAAGATTAAAAGGGATGCATCTTCAAGTGCAGTGAAGCAACCTTTCAATGGGAATAAAGAATCCAATGCTGTGTACAGTCTGAAGGGTCGTAACAAGAGTAACCACAACCAACCAGTGGGGGCAGTTTTAATTTCCAATCCCACATCTACTCAATCGCAATGAGAGGGTAGGCGTAGGACGAAATTTCAAGAGAGACAATACACCAATATTGGTATGTCCTTACCACAAGCCCTACAACATTTACTAAAAGCTAAGCTCATTTCACTAAGAGACCCTCCACAAAATCTCAATACATATTTATCTCAATACAACCCTAATGCCAAATGTGCTTACCATTCAAATAGCCCAGGACACGATACTAATGATTGTTGGACTCTAAAGAATAAAATCCAAGACCTAATTGATAACAAGACAATTGAATTCGACCCTCCGACAACTCCCAAAGTGATCACTGCTCCCATGCCAAATCATTGAGAGTGTCCAGTTCATTTTGAATTTTTCAATTGTTATTTCTTTTGTTTGTTCGAACACTTATCAATTATGTCAAACTTTGTTTCATTAATGCATTGCATATGTTTGTCTTGAATTAATCTATTCGTTTTCACTATATTCAAACTGTGCTTCTTGTGATATTCAACTCTCGTTAAAAGTTGCAAGCTTTTAGAGGGAGGATGGCGAAAACAATACCATAATCTCATACAGTATGCTTTTGGACAGACCTTGTTGACGATGTACAACCGTTCTTTCAATTCCTAAACATTAGAGTTATAAGGAAGATAATCTCTAGTCAACCCTTTTGAGCCAAAGAAGTAGGAGTTTTCTTTTTCACACAAATTGAAACCTTTAATCAAAACCTGAGACATTGTATTTTCTCAGTTAATTCAAATGTGCGTTCAGTCACAAACCTTCACTTCATACACAAAGAATGACATAAAAAAATCCTTTTGAATCAAAAGCCGACGATGGTTCACCGTAAAATAGGCAATCATTATCTCTCAAAAGAAAAGCCCACTGAGTCAAAACCTATGAAGGAGACTTAAGAAAAACGGGGGCATCCCACTGGTTGTAATCTCAAAACAAGAATAGTCAGGAAAAAACTAGGGATAGTAGATCAAAAAGATGTCACTACAAATCCTCGATAACAGAAAAAATATTGCAAAAATGACTTCCTTCCCAAATAAACTTCTAAGTATCCGAACCGTTACCAAAATATCATTCCAGATTCAATAGGAGTTCAAACGCACAATTAACTGAGTATAGGACTGGAGAATATCATGAAGAATGGGTGGTTACAAATAAACTTTGAGCCTTATACTTTGTTTCTTAAACCGTGAACCAGGCCACGTTGAACCCCTTAAAAGTCCTAATTGAAGCATGGATTAGTTCAAAAGAATACTGTTACAAAAGGTATCCTG